TTAATGGGTAATTAAAAATCCTTTCAAGAAACATAATTATGGCTTATATATAAAAATTTCAGCTTTATTAAATCATCTAAAATTGCTGTAATTGTGTTTTAAAACACTTATTTTAATAATTTAAATCACCCATAAACAATTTCCATCAATATACATAAACTTAGAAACCTAGGGTTTATAATTTGGGGCTTTTTAATTCAAAACCAAATCTGAAAATTTATATACAAAATACTTATTATCAAACATCATAAAACTCATCACAAAACCCAAAAACAATAATTAGATCAAGGGTGGATTTAATTAAAATCAAAAAGGAAGAATTTTTTTTTAAGGTGTGCGCACAGCACCACCGCAGCAAGGCTGCTGCCGCGCCTGCCGGTCGGTGCTGCTACTGCTGGCGCTCGCTGGTGGTGGAAGCCGGCCGGTGGTGGTGTGTGCGTGGGTGGTGATTGAAACAAAAATAAAAATAGAGGGGAAGGGGAAAAATTAAGGGAAAAAAGAAATAAGAGGTGAGAGAGAAAGTTTACTGTTGAGTATTCTCCACTTTGAGCAAAGTTTGATTTTGCTCATATGATGGGTATTTATACCCTCTCTCAATAACCCTCCTACTTAAAATTCCTTTACTACTCTTAATGATCCTTTTCCTATTCAAACTAGTATTTTGACTTTCCTTAAGACTTTAAAATTTCCTTTTATAGAATAATATGCCCCAAAGTTTCCAAAATATTGAAATAAAATATTTTCAAGATTATTGTTAAATAATTAAAAATAAACTTTAAATTAAAATAATTCTTTTTAAATTAATGGAACACCATAAATAATTCATTTCGAATTATTTAAATACTTTAAGAAATACTTATTTAAGTTAAGATATGTATAAAAATACGGGGTATTACAGTCTACCCCCTTAAAAGAAGTTTCATCCCGAAACTTGGGTAACGAAATTCAAACTTTTTTCCTCACTTTGTATAGTATTGTTGTACTCTTTTGTCATACTTTTGCCTTTAATGTCTCTTTGAAATCAAAATTACTCGAAAGTGCAAAAAAGCACAAAAATAACTGAAAATTTAGGGAAAAAGCGCCAAATTCTACCGCATTCTACCTCCCTTAAAGAAAATGAGTTACGTCCCCATAACTCACCATAACTTAAACAACTCGGGATATTTCTTTTTCATCTCATCCTCGGCTTCCCAAGTTGCTTCTTCATACTCTTGGTTAGACCATAGCACTTTAACAATCTTAACTTCTTTATTCCGTGTACTACGCACTTTATTGTCAAGGATCTTAACAGGTCTTTTCCTCATAAGTTAAGCTTTGATCTCACTCAATGGTTTCGGGTTGTACGTAGCACATGTGATTTATCAGGGATATACCTTCTTAACTGAGATACATGAAATACATCATGCACTTTACTTAGCTCCATAGGTAAGACCAACCTATAAGCTATTTTGCCTATCCTTTGCAATACTTCATATGGACCAATATACTTTGGGCTAAGCTTTCATTTCTTTCCAAATCTCATTACACCTTTCATTGGTGACACCTTTAACAATACTTTGTCACCGACCTCAAATTCCTCCTCTCTATGCTTCAAGTCCGCGTAGATCTTTTGGCGATCTTGCGCCGCTTGAATCTTAGCTTGAATCTCCCTTACTTGCTTAACTGTATCCTTAATCATTTGAGGCCCTAAAATCATTGTTTCACTTATGTCGTTCCAATAGATCGGACTGCGACACTTCCTTCCATATAATGCCTCAAACGGAGCCATGCCAATGCTTGCTTGGTAGCTATTATTATAGAAAAATTCAATTAAGTCCAAGCTATCTTCCCGTCCCCCTTGGAAATCTATAACACAAGCCTTCAACATGTTTTCCAAGGTTTGAATGGTTCTCTGCCCATCTGTGGCAGGGTGAAATGTTGTACTCATCTTAAGTGGTGTACCAAAGTTTTCCTGCACACTCTTCCAGAACCTTGAAAGAAACCTAGAATCTCTGCCAGACACAATATCTTTTGGAACTCCATGTAATCTCACCACATTTTTTATGTAAGCTTTTGCATGTTGCTCCATCTTCCAGGTCTCCTTCATTGGTATAAACACTACAGATTTTGTAAGTATATCCACCACTACCCAAATGGTGTCATTTCCACTCTTTGACTTTGGGAGGCAAGTCACAAAGTCCATTGAAATACAATCCCATTTCCATCCAGGAATTTCCAATGATTGCACAATTCCTTGCGGTCTTTTGTGTTCTATGATTGCACAGTTCCTTATTTTATGGATTTGGTGTGATTGTTTACACTGGTTTAATTGATTTAAATTTATTAATTGTAGGGCTCCTCCTAAATATGTGGACATTAACATATGGGTTGGTGGGGATTTTGTATGTAATAAGGGGAAAATTGAGTACATGGGGGAGGGATGTTCATGAAAATGCATTTCTTTATACATCAGCTGAGTTGTAGTAGTTTGAGGAGGGCAGTGATGCAGAAGGTTCGTTCCTATGAACTTTAGTGTGTGGTATAGGATGCTAAGGAAAAGTTTGACAAATGGTAGGAAGAAGATTAAAACAGAAGAGGACTTGATGAGCTTGGTGAATTCTAGGGATTATAATGTCAAGGTGATTATTTGGGCCTTAGTGGAACCAACTAGCCCATAAACTGTGAGATCCAAATACCAGAGTTATATCCCACCTAGGCCTGCAACAACAAGCCAGTTACACCAGTACATGGTCAAATTAGAACCAAATGCACAACCTGCTAAAACGAAGCCTGTTAAAGTAGAGAAATTACCTGTCAAGAGAAGCAGTAGGTTGTCCCCACAGAAGGCTAAGGAATTAGCTGACTTAGATGCTGTTGTGGTGACCCCAGCTGAGTATAGAAGACACATGAGGCAAGTTGCAAATAATAAAAAAAAAATCCAAACCAAACACCCCTCCCCTCACACATGTTATTAGTCCAGATAAAACTCCCCTCCAACAGATCCGACCTTCAACATCTACAGATGCAGCTCCCTCCACAGATCTATTTCCATTGAAAAACCCTAACTTAGAGCCTATCATCCCTTCAGCAAGTAGTGTGAAGCCAGGGAAGGGAGTTTAGAAAGTGAAGGGAGTTCAGAAAGGGAACGGAGGCAATTAAGAAAGAGAAGGGAGGGAAGAAAGGGAAGGCAGTAACACAAGAAAAGTTTAAATGGGTTACTAGTTTAGGTGCAGATTCAGATTGTAGTGGGGAAGTGGACTGGTCTAATTCAAATTTGTCTGGATCTGATGTGAATTTTGAGTTAGACGAAGAAGATAAGCAAGAGTAGGAAGGTGGTGAGCTATACTTAACTTACCAGGAGGAGGGTACAAGCTCAGATTTGAAGGGGAAAATTAAAAGAAACAGAATGCTGCAGATTCAGAGCAAGTGAGGGAAGAACCTGATAACTTAGGGTTAGTTGAGGAAGTTGACTATGATTCAGATGATTTGAGGAGCTTGCAAGGTTCAAATGAAGAGGTAGACCCTTATCCCTCTTTTAATCCAGATGTTGACTTCAAGACTAAAGTAAGGTTAAGTAAAGGCCTTAAATTCCCTAACGTTTATATTGTGAGATAGGCAATTAGGTCTCATAGCATTGAGAATTCATATGATTACTATTTATTGCACAATAGTAAGAAGAAGGTGTATGTGTATTGCAAATATAGGTGTAGTAGTTGCCCTTGGGATAAGAAACATGGGAAGTTGAGGGATTGCAAATGTGAGGATGAGAATAAGTGTAGGTTCAAAATCTGTATAAGGCAAATACCAGGGGAAGATACCATGCAGATTAAGAGCATGAACCTAACTCACACTAGTGGCTTTTTTCATGCTAGCACAAAAGTAACTTCAGACTATTTAGCTGAAAGGTACTTAGATGAGTAGAGATCAGATCCATCTTGGAAGTTAGCTAGGTTAGACAGGGTATATAAGGATATAGAGGTGCATATAGGGTATTACAAGGCATGGTTTGCAAGGGCAAGGGAAAAATTAATCTTGTATGGTGATTCAGCTGAGGAATATGCTAGGATCTTTGACTATGGTTTTGCAATTCTAAAGTATAATTCAGGTTCTTCAGTTATAGTTGTCATAGAAGGGATAGAGAGACCTCCACCATTTTTTAAGAGGATATATGTATGTTTAGAGGCTTGCAAAGTAGGTTTCAAGAAGGGTTGCAGGCCACTAATTGGTGTGGATGACTGTCACCTTAAGGGTGCTTTTCCTGGGATGATTTGGTGGCAGTGGGTAAAGATGGGAATAATAATAATATCTACCCAGTTGCTTGGGCTGTGGTGGAGACAAAGAACAAAGACAGCTGGACCTGGTTTTTGGAATTGTAAATCAAAGACATTGAGTTTGAAGGACATGGCTTGATAGTGATTTCAGATAGGCAAAAGGTAAATTGATTAGTTAACTACTAGTTTATGTGTTAATGTATGAGTTTGATCCTAATTTTGATGCTTTTTCATGTAGGGGTTGCTGGAGGCATTTGAATTGGTTGTTCCTAAAGCAGAAACTTGGTTATGTGCAAGGCACATTTGGGCAAATTTTAAGCTCCAATTCAGTGGCTCAACATTTAAAGAGCATTTTTGGAGAATTGCTAAATCCACTACAAAGGTAACCTAGTTCTAATTAATCCAATTTTTATTCTTTCTTTTGTAGTGTAGTTGATTTACCAGCATTTTCTAAACATTCTTCATATAATCTAGGTTGATTTTGATGCTGAGTTAGCATACATTAGGGAGTTAGATGAAGATGCTTTTAATTGTTTGAATTCAATCCCACCAAGACATTGGTCTAGGCATGCATTTAGTACAACATCAAAACCAAATATGCTCCTGAACAATATTTGTGAAACTTTCAATGCTGTTTTGAGGAGTTCAAGAGATAAACATGTCATCACTTGTTTAAAATGGATTAGAAGATATGTGATGAAAAGGAATGCTGAAAAGTAGGAGGGAGCTCAGAAACATAAGGGCAGATTCATGCCTTACATCACCAATGTATTCAAATGGGTGGCAGAATCAGCTACAAAATGTTCAATTGTGCCAGCCAGGTTGGATGTTTGGGAGGTGGATCATTATTCTGACAAATATGTAGTGAACCTCAATAAAAACACCTGCATATGCTTTAAATGGGAGCTCAATGGTATTCCATGTGCCGATGCTTGGGCTTGTATCATTAAGAAGAGAGAAAGACCTGAGGCATATGTCCATGAGTGCTACACCAAGTCCACTTACCTAAAAGCTTACACACCAAGCATAAAACCTTTGCGTGGGGTGAAGCAGTGGGAAAGGTCAGATATGGTTCAACCACTACCTCCTCTAATGAGAAAGATGCCTGGACGACCATCTCTAAAGAAGAGAAAGAAGGAGCAGGGAGAAGTTAAGGATTCAGGAGCTATCAAAAGGCCAAAGAGGGTGTTTAAGTGTTCAAAATGTGGACAAACTGGACATTATGCAACCAAGTGCAAAAATCCTCTAGCCCCCACCCCAAGAGATTGACTTAGGTGGCAGGCCATACTCAACTGATGCTTGGTCAGTTTCTAGGAGGAACAAAAACAAGGAAAGGGCACTTAGAAAGGTAAAATGCAATAGCTGCCCTAGCTCTTCTCCCTGGTTTTATTGTGTGTATTCTTTGTATTTTATGACATTAAAATCCTTTTATTGCAGGAACAAGATGAGCAACTCCTGTCTAGTCTTTAAGCTAAAAAGTCTGCCCCACTTACTAATCCTCAAAGTAGCCAGGCAACAACACAACAAACTGCATCTCAACCTTCAACAAGCACTCAAGGGAAGGCAACAGGAAAGGCAAAAAGCTCCTCCAAAGACAAAAGTTCCTCCCAAACCAAAGTTTCCCTGTCAAGTCTAAAGCCAAAGTACAAGCTATTTGGAAAGTTTAGTTCAATGAGTTGTATTTTGTTATCAAACATGCATTGAGTTGATGTTCCACTCTAGTTACTTAGAAACTTATATTTTTGGGTCATGTGTTGACAAACAGTAGTTTACAAGATGATTGTGGGTAAGAGCCCTTGTTTTTGAGTTGTAATTATATTGAAAAACTCAAAAACAACCTTTTGGATCAAAACAAAGCTTACCTTTTCATTTCATAATTCATATCATACATAACAAAAGCACACCATGTTTACTAGCCACTATCCATATGTGGTTACAAAACTTGTAGCTAAACATGGAGTTAATGTGTATTCTACTATCATTGCAATTGATTTTTTAGGTTGGTTTTTTGGGAGGCAGGGGAGGTTGGGTGTCTCAGTTTTTTTTTGGAGGGAAATGAAAAGGTGGGTCCCACACGTCGGAGTTTGTTGCCGAAAAATAAAAATGGGTAGTGCTACTCTAACTTTTTAAATTTAGGGGTAGTTTTTTTGATAAAATTTTTTAGCGAGTAGTTGTTGACAATTTCACCTATTCAGCGTGTAATATCTGACAATTTTTCCTTTATTTATTTGATTATAAATATCAAATATGGAGGTATGTACTTATGGAAGAACAAGCCAATTTGATTAAATTTAATTTGATAAAAAATTGTCAGCCTAGACACGAGGTAATACATGCATGGCACAATCCTCCATCTAAACCAACACCTCTTTGAATAAAAGAGAAACCTGGGCAATCTTGACTCCTTCCATTCTAACCATAGCAAGCGGATAATTATTTTTAAATTTTCCTTAGTATTGCAACCATGGAATATTGGAATGTTACTATATTGTTTTCAAAAATAAAATAACAAATTAGGAAATTTTGACTTTTGGTACCTCGAAAATGACCCCTATTGACTTTTGGTACCTCAAATTTTATTTTACAAAATATAGGTTTTGATACCAATTAACAGAATCCGTTAGAGATCCGTTAAGTGGGGCCCGTTATCTAATTATTTAATGATTTAATTTATTTAAAAAAAATAAATTTTTTTAAAAAAAAAACTTAAAAAAAAAAAAAAACAACTAGCCATTGCCACCCCTCCCCCCACCCCGTCAGCCACCCTTCCCCCTCCCCGCGCCGGCTGCCGGTGCCTAAACATTCCCCTGGCGCCGGCGAGCCCACCTCTTCCCTTTCCCGCCTTTGATCTCAGCCGCAAAACCGCCGCACAACAGCAGTTGCCCTTCCAAAACAACCACCGTCCGCCGAAACAACCCCCCTCCCCTGTTCGCCGACCCCCTCCTTCCCTGAAACAACCACCCTCCCCTTTTTGTCGGCCCTCGAAACCCTAAAACCCACCTGAAACAACCTGAAAAACCAAACCCGTTTAATTGTGTGTGACCGCTCAAATTGGTGGTTGTTGTGGTGCGAATTGGAGGTGGTGGTGGTTAATTCGGCGGCTAACGGTGGTTGCAGTCATGGTGGTGAGGTGAGGTGGCTGCGTGCCTGGTTGCTACCGGCTTGAAGGTGGCTAAGGGGTGGCTGGAAGGTGGCAGGGCCTCACTAACGGAAAGTTTAACGGAAGTTGGACGGAGGTACCAAAACCTATATTTTGTAACTTTGATGAGTACCAAAATAAAATAAAATTTTAGATGGGTACCAAAAATCAATAGGGGTCCTTTTCGAGATACCAAAAGTCAAAATTTCTAAAAAATTATTTAGTATTAAATTTTCCAATACTTTTGTTGATTGCTTGGCCATAGGTATAGGTATGATTATTATGTAAAAATATTTTTTCACCTTTTTGTTCTATATTTTTATGCGATAATGTACTCTGTTTATTTGAACCTTGATAGACCTTTACCTAAAGTAAATTACAATTTCGACCTAATTTTTTTTTTATCACTCTTTGACCAATAAGGTCTATAGATAATAGATTTGATCACCTAATCTTCTAGTTTAAATTTGAATGTCCAACCACTATGCCATAACTTCTCTCAATGGTTACTTTATAGCAACAGATCTTTGTTGTGTAATGACTTAACAAATGTCAAGGGGATCGGACCCTCCCTAGCCTTAACTAAGGTGAGGGTTGGACTCGGTGTGTAAGCAAGATCTTGAAGCATAAAAGAATTCCTTTGGTCCTGTGAAGTAGACATTCATGGTTTTTCATTGCTATGACACAATGTATATACGTATATTTTTTTTTTTTTTTTACAATTTCTTGTTCATATGGGCAACAATGTATAAGTAATGGAATTTGATCTTAAATACAATTCTCAATACTTTAACCAAATAGTTGACATTTAAAAAATTTAGTACGGAGTATTTCATAATCATAACTTTAATTAAACATAACAAATAGCTCGACCACGAGTCATCAAAGTACGGACTACAAAGTACGTCGTATAATTTTATCGAAAAGGATAAGCAAATTTAATTTTTTACCATAATGGTAAAGAAAAATTTAACGGCAGTGCCAACTGGTTTTCTTGTGGAAGGAGTACTCCCCCACATACAAATATTCAGCAAGAGGCGCCCAATTTTTAAAGCGTTCTGAAAAACGTCATTTCCTGTTTTGACACAAATTTCCGTCGAAAATTTTAGGACAGAGAAAATGGAGAATGAGGTCCACATGAAGGTCGTTAATGGCGAAGATGGATACGTCCTTGAAGATGTTCCTCATTTATCAGATTACATTCCGAATCTTCCAGTACGTTTTCCTTTTTTTTTTTTTAAAAAAAAAATTTTATAGTTTGATTGTATTTTGTGTATTGTTATGGTTGATCATTGTGAAACGTTTGATTGTGTTTGTTTTTGGGTTGATTTGGTCAAAATTACGGGATTTAAAGTTGGCATTGTGTGTAATCATGGAGATATCGTTGAAATTAGTTATTGCTAATCATATTTCTTCAATATGTGTTGAAATAATTCTCATGCAATTTGGAAATTGAATTTTGGTGCTGTTTTTAAGAAGTTGATTGCAATGTTGTTATAATGGCTGATATATGAATTTTGGTGGTTTTTTTTTTTTTTTTTTTTTTGAGGATTTGACTATTGTAATGGCTAATTATATCATGGATTTTTGAGCATTTTATAAGAAATTAATTGAAATGTTATTATATTGGATAATTCTATCATGGATTTTGGTTAATTTTCTGTAATTAATTGATCGAGGTACATATGGTAAGACATAAAATAATCACAAAAAATGTCAAAGATTATGTAAACGTCGAAATTGTAGTGGATTGAATCATAATTAGGAGATTTTTTTTTGGTTACATTATAGAGAATTTGTGAGATGCGACATTTGACCACGAGAAAGTATAAGTGCATAATAGTTATCAGATTGTTGCACCTCCAAAGTCCAAACATTCCAAAATGCTCCCTATTTTTCTAGAGTGAATTTTCTTAATGGTTCTAAAAACACCCTTTAAATGATCAATGTGTCCCTTACAATTATACTTCCTTTTAAAAGCATAATGTTTGTTATGCATCTTTACATCTTAGCATCTATCTTCTGTTTGTCGGATTAAAAGCGTGCTCCAATGCCTGTATGGGTTTATAATGTTGCTAGTTTAAAGTTTGCAATGTTTGTGAGGGGGCTCACAAGACTACAAGAGATTGCTTTTGTTATGCATTTTAGCATCTATTTTCTGTTTTGTCGACTGTAGGATTAAAAGTGTGCTCCAATACTGGTACGGATTTATAATGTTGCTAGTTTAAAGGTTGCAATGTTTGTGAGGGGGCTCACAAGAGATTGCTACTTTGTGCCCTATAAAGTTTCCACTGTGTAAACTTTGTAAAGTCTCACAATGTAGTGGAATATTTGTAAGTAGTTATGTGTATTGTGCTATCCTCCTAACTAGCGAGGATGGTGCTTTTCTTAACAGAGTTTTTCTCTAGCATACCTATATAACAAAGAAGCCGTTGGTATGCCAAGTCTTGAGGAAAATACATCTGTCTCCCTTGACAATAGTTTCTTTTTCCTTTGGGGAAAATTGGTGCTAGATTGATTGTATTATTGTATGAATAAGCTAATGCTTGAATAACTGTAGCACAGCCCTGAACATCGAGCTCTTTTCTAAGTATAATGGTTAGAGTGAGAATTATAATCATTGAATGTGGGGTTTTCAATTTTTAATCACAAGGAGCCATATGTTCAACCATTGTGCATAATTGGGACTGTGAAGAAAACTTCAAAATTTATATTTCTGTGTTATGTATGAAATCAGAATCATATATGAAACATAACCAAAATGATAATGAAAATTAAAAAATATAGTAAGGTTTTGTTGTGGTTAATCTACAGCACAGTGAGACACTTGATTGTTAATGCTATAGATTTGTTTGCCTATGACTTTATGTTATTGTTTTGTACTTGTAGTCAGATTTTCTTGTTTTACTTACATGTTTTACCTTGTTTGCAGACCTACCCCAATCCTTTACAAGATAATCCTGCCTATTCAGTTGTTAGGTAAGCCAGTTCCTTCCTGATGGCTCCTTTACCAATGAAATTTCTTACCAAGCTTGGGTTGATAAGCTATTGATCTATCTCTCTCTCTCTCTTTTTCCAGGCAATATTTTGTTCATGAGGATGCTACGGTGATACAGAAGGTATTCCCCGTATATATATTTGTCACAATGTCACATAGCCATAGTAGTTTATATATGTACATTTTCCACTGCAGAGTCTGTTCTGATATTTTCCAGACAGCGTGCAAGTGATTTGTACAATATGTTAGGATGAGGTCTTGAAAATTAATACGGAGTGTTGGTTTTTGTTAAAAAAAAAAAAATTTAGCAACAGAAGAGCTACTAGCTTAATTTTAATTTTTCTTTTTCCTTCTCTAGATAGTAGTTCACAAGGATTCGCAAAGGGGTATACATTTCAGGCGTGCAGGTCCAAGGCAGAAGGTACATTCTCTTATGCCTGTTATGTAGATGCTGTGGGAGTAATTTTCTGGATGTCATAAAAATCAAAACCTTTTCATAGCCCAGGTGTACTTTAATTCTGGTGAAGTGCATGCGTGCATTGTGACATGCGGAGGTCTTTGCCCTGGACTTAACACTGTCATCAGAGAAATTGTCTGCGGCCTCTACCACATGTATGGTGTCAGCAAAGTTATTGGAATTAACGTAAGTATGATAAGTCTTTTATAAGTTACAGTGATTTTCCGATTTTCATGTCATCATAGCATGATAAGTCTTTTATCAGTCAGTTCGATTCTTCTGTAATTTATGGTATCATGTTTATAGCCCTAACCAGGTAAAGGAGCAAAGAAGGAAAGAAAACTAGATATGATTGAACATTTGTGGGTGTATGGTGCTGAAAAAATCATAGATAATATGAATTTTGCTTCAAGAGCTAAGATCCTTGGTTACTGGCTTGCTGCATCTTTTTTTTTTTTTTTTTTGTTTCTTTGAGTTTATGTCCAACAATTTGGATTTACTACATGTTTTTTTTATCCTTTGATACGCAATATTTTTATGTTTGCAATATAAATTGAATGCCTGAACCTGGTGTGGCAGTTTTGTGGTTTTGATACGAGTCTTTTCTTTGGAAAATAGAGGGTGTGAAACTCTTTATCTACATCAAATGCTTTAATCATTCAGTGTCTTAAATCTGCAGTAAGTTTGTAAGGCATACTTTGCTGATAAGGAGATTATTTTTTCCTTCATTTTTGTGTTTTTCTTCTTTCATAAATGCTGAAAAATTTGTGTTGTTGTTAACATGGGGTTCCTTTTAAAGTATTAAGTGTTATTGAACAATTAGAATTTAATTTATGGAATACTTTATTCTCTGACACTCTCTGAAAATTCTTTTAATCATGGTCATTATGCACCCAGTGTGTTGAAACTTTGTGTTTTTTGTGCTCATGAATGATGTACTTGTAGCTGTTACTGATATTATCATCTGACAATGTGATGTATATTCTTTAGGGAGGATATAAGGGTTTTTATGCTAAAAATACTATTCCTTTCAACCCTAAGTTTGTCAATGACATCCATAAGCGCGGTGGTACAGTAATTGGAACTTCTCGAGGTGGTCATGATACCAAAAAAATAGTTGATAGCATTCAAGACCGTGGAATAAACCAGGTATTAAGTGATAATATGCTTTTCTTGTAAGCTCAATTGCATTTACTAGGTCGGTGGTCCTTTGTGATATATTTTGTGGTGCTAAGCTAATGTGTCTTTGAACTATTCAGGTTTACATAATTGGAGGTGATGGCACACAGAAAGGAGCAGCTGTGATCTATGAGGTACCATTTATTAGTGACAAAGACTTAATTTGTTAAGTATGTCAATTATTAAATGGTGGCATCTTTAGATAGCAAATTGGAATACTGTTATTTACTTATTTTATCTTCTTTATAATAACAAAAGTTTAAACATTTGATAAATGATCTCAGATGTTCTAGGAGGATGATAAAAATTTTCTGGCATGAAATATATTTTATTTAAAATAGTTTAAGATATAACTAAATGGTCATGGTATGGTGGCCTAGTTCATTCTGTTCAGATTTTGACTAATGTGTATTAAAGATGCTTCTTGATGTATGCCCGAAATATTATTGCTTTCTGATATGTAATTATGCAGGAAATTAGACGACGAGGCCTTAAAGTTGCAGTAGCTGGAATCCCTAAAACGATTGATAATGACATTCCGGTACTTAACAGCATTTGGAACTCATTTTATTGTTTTCTAGCTGGTATATGTGTCTTAATTTTAGATGTTGGTTTTATTGAATATGATTGCTTTGGCTTATGCCTTATGGAGTTATGGTTTGTCCTTTCCAGGTTATTGATAGGTCTTTTGGCTTTGATACTGCTGTAGAGGAAGCTCAACGTGCAATAGATGCTGCCCATGTAGAAGCTGAAAGCATGGAGAATGGTATTGGTCTGGTGAAATTGATGGGCCGCTACAGTGGTTAGTTATCTCTTTTTTATTGAAATTATTTGACATATAATGGAAAATTTTGTGTGCTTGAAATACTGAAAAGTTAGTATTTGCAAGTCTCTTTTCCTGATACGGTGGTACCTCTCGATCTGTTAGTGTCTTTTAGCTTTAGCTATCATCTTGGTATAAGATTTGCTACTAGGATCATTTATCTGCTGTTATATCATACTACGTATGATTTTTTTGCTCACTTGTGCCTTATTTAATCACCTAAGCAAGATTGTTCTGATTAAGAACCTTGCATTTCAAGCTGATCATTAAAGGAGGTTCTCCAAATTATGTAGGGATTTTCTTTCTCCGTGGTTCTTTGAGAAAGTCAATCCAGAGTAAAGTAAATTAGTGTAGTAAGCTCTGTGAATAAAATGTTCAACATGACCACTGACTACTATGCATAATACTAGTGAAACACATGTTTATTTTCAGGCTCTTGTACTTTTATAAATGAGGCATTATAATTTATAATCTTCAATGTTGATCCTGTTCATTAATCAGTCTTCTTTTTTGCATCCTTTTTTGAGGTTTAAGAGGATGCTTTTAGAAATCATTCATGCCATTTGTCTAGTTTAAATATTTCTTGTATTCAGAGCATGCTCAAATAATTCCCATGTCATTTAGCAGTTGTTGGAAACATTTATGTATAGTCAAAATCGATCATCGACAGTACGTGGCTTAACTCTGTTTCTTTCCTTCTCTCTTACTCCTCTTCATGGGGTTTTCTAATCGCAGGTTTTATTGCAATGTTTGCAACTCTTGCTAGCCGAGATGTTGATTGTTGCTTGATTCCAGAGTCACCTTTTTATCTTGAAGGCAAGGGTGGGCTTTTTGAATACATTGAGAAAAGACTCAAAGAAAATGGGCATATAGTCATCGTAATTGCTGAAGGAACTGGGCAGGAGCTCTTATCACAAAATTGGAATGAGAAAGATGCTTCAGGCAACAAGTTGCTGAAAGATGTTGGCCTGTGGATGTCACATAAAATTAAGGTTTGTATCTTCATGTTATCCACACTATTGGAACATGTGTACTAGCACAGTGGAACATTTTTGGGCTAAATTAACATAATTAGGTAGCGTATTGCAATCTTATACTCATCTTACGTGTTGAAGCGAGTATGTATTAGGTAGGTAACCCTAGATATTCACATGGAACATGCCACATGCCATGCAATGTTTTCAATGAATTTCAATCATGTTTCTTTGAATTTAACAAAGCCATTCTATAAATGTTGTGTTTTCAGCTTTGGTGCTTGCATCACATTATGATTTTTCTTCTTAATTAACTTAAATTCTCGAGGGACTAGTTCTTTGCTAACTTGCTAAGTTGTGAAACGCTAGAACTTCTTTTTGATACCTGATTTGATTTTGTTAGATTTAACTTTGTTGAATGCTACTTCGTGAAATGATGAAAGCTCTTTAAGTTCTGTTTATGACTTTGTTGTCATGTTTAACATTCCTTACTCCACATTGTTTTCAAATTGTACCAGTTATATCAATTTCAGTTATGCCTGTAATGCATGTGTTTATTGAGAAGTAGGAACTAATTTCTTGATATTATGATGAAAGGATTATGCTAAATCTTCTAGATTCTTAATGATTCTTGTTTATGACTGTAGGAACATTTTACTCGAAATAAAATGGTCCTAAATCTAAAATACATAGGTCAGTCATTTGGTTTTTGTATGATTCGTTATTTAGGGTATAGTCCATTCTGAAACAGATTAAGAAAGAAATACAGAAAGGAGAATGACTTGAGCTAGTTGTTTGCAGATCCTACCTACATGATCCGTGCTGTTCCCAGTAATGCATCTGATAATGTATATTGCACACATCTTGCTCAAAGTGCTGTACATGGAGCTATGGCAGGATTTACAGGATTCACAGTTGGGCTTGTTAATGGAAGGCAAACATATATTCCTTTCAATGTGAGTTCTGTATTTAGTATATGACCTCTGTTTCTCCAAATTCAGAAACTTGGGTTTAACTGAAAACTTTTGCGAGTATTAATTGGCTCCAATTTTCTTTATTTTCCTTAAATGAGGCCAAGGTTTCAATTTTTTCAGTGCATCTCAACCTTGGCCTCATTTAAGTAAAGATGGTTGCATAGCTAACTTGGTTACCCCCAGTGGCCAGCTCTTTTCCACCATATACAAATCCCTGTAGAATTTTAGCTAATTTATCTAGGATGACATATGCTGCCTTGAATTGTATGCAGCGCATCACTGAGCAGCAGAATCAGGTTGTTATAACCGATAGGATGTGGGCTAGGCTTCTTTCATCGACCAATCAACCAAGCTTCTTGGGGGCCATAGAAGTTGCAAACGCCAAGGAAAATGAGAATGCTGCTCAGTCATTGGAGGGAGAGAACTGTAAAAACAATTCTGCAGAAGAGGACAGTGTTGCTAAGTTACCGAAGGGAGAGAACTGTAAGAACGATTCTGCAAAAGAGAGTGCTGCTCAGTCATCTACGGTAGAGAACTGTAGAAACAATTCTGCGGAAGAGAAAAGTGTTGCTCAGCCATCAAAGGGAGAGATATGTAAAGGCAATGCTGCGGAAGAGGAGAGTGTTGCGCAGCCATCGAAGGGAGAGAACTGTAAAAACAATTCTGCTGCTTACATTCTTAATGCATGACACACTAACAAAATCCTGTACTTCAGCTTGTGTCAAATCCTAATTCTTTGAGTCACTTAGATTGAATAAGTCTTTTTTTTCTTCTTTTCCCATTTGGTAGGTAAGAAATCTAAGAAGAGGCTAGGAATGAAAACCAAGACAATGTGCTTTTGTCTTCCTGCTCGGTGATTTTACTGTTTCAATGGGATTTTTGCTAAAGGTTGAGCCCTGCTTCTCTTACCAGTGCCATTTTCTTTGAAACCAGTTAACTTGTATACATCTTTTGGTTTCGGTACAACTATTGTTCCAAACAAAACTTAGTGTCTTGAATAGGGTGTGGGAGTTTGAAAGGCTGTATGATCGGAGTATTGATGAATGATGATTTACTGTACGAAGTATATGTTAATGTCGATTTTTGTCTTGTGAATGAGGAGAATTTGTATAAGTTTTCACAGTGAAAATAAAACAGATAGAACCCACAGTCTTTTCTCAAGTCATAATCTACAGTCTTTTCAGCAACAGTGTTATGTGCTATACAACACCTATCATGATTTTGATGAGGAATGCAACTTGAAGAAGGAAGACACCCTTTTATAACTATTATGGTGCATTACCAATTCCTCTAAGAGCTTCGATAGTTCAATTCATATAGATTGCATGCATGATCTTCATGCACCTTATTATTACTAACCTACATCATGGCACATGCTTTATGTGTCCTCACACTTTCATGCACACTATGGGTCTAATGGCATATGTTGGGCACGCATACAATTTTATTATTTTTTATTTTTATTTTTTTTTAAATTACCAAAGTGAGTTTCGTTAAGAAACTATTTTTCAAAGTAAACGCGTGGCAAAATTATTTACCAAACTAAGCTTTCAGGGTAAAACGTCATCCAGGGTGGCGTTTTTACTCTGGCCTTTTTTTTTAAAAAAAAAATTTCAGTGTAGGGAAAAATGCCAGCCTGGTTGGCGTTTTACCTTGACTGAATTTTCTAAGAAAATTTGCCAAGGTAAAAACGCTAACCAGGCTGGCGTTTTACTGTTGTACCAAAAACGCCAACCTGGTTGGTATTTTTGTATCGGGTATTTCAGGCAGTACTGTTATTTTTTTCATTTTTCTTCAACAAAACGCAAAACCCCCAAATTCCAAACCCTAACCCGCGCCTCATTGCTCGCCCAATCCTCCATATTTGCAGCAAGTTCATCACATTCCATTGTTTAGATCTTCATCATAGTCACTAAACATTATTCCTCCTTCTTTGTTCAACACTTTTACGCTGTACATTGATTGAATTTGAGGTATGTATTGAATTTAACTATTTTACTTGTTTATGATTTTTTTGGGAATTTATGTTTGTAATTTATAATGTATGTACTATATTGTTGTTCAAGTATGCGAAATAAGTATAACTACATAATACATTGTTGTTTAATTATTGAAATTAAGTATATTTATATGTATGTTGTTTAATTTCAAATCATGTATATGAAGCATACATTATTCTTCATACTTAGTGTGTAAATTTCAAGTATGTTTACGAACTACATTGTTGAATTAGGTACATTTAAATATATACTACATTGTTGATTAACTAGGTAAATAAGTACATTGTTGAACACTAAGTTGTATATACGCTTAGCTTGAGGATTTAATGGAATCATTGTCGTTTTAGTTGTGTTGTGTATTTGTGTCATCTAATATGTGTTCCGATTGTTATGTAGAACGTGTCTTCACAATTAATTGTTTTGTTATGCCGTTAGGGGGGTGAAATTTTGTGTGTCGGATCGAACGTCGAGTATAGAGGAGGAAAAATGGAACCGTTGGCATTAAAACCTTGTATGACTTACAATGATTTGTTGAAGAAGGTTTATACTATAACTGCTTCAAACCCAACGAATATTGAACTGAACATTAAAATGAGGTTTGAGAGTGTCAGTGGGGTTCAAATCTTACTTGTTTTGAATGACGACCATTTGGAGGTTTTGAGGGGTGTCGTTGCAATGGGGTCGATCTCTTCCCACTGGTTTGTATGTTGAAATGGTGCCTATATGTACTCAACAGACTATTCGCTTGACAGAGCAACAACCTACATATCTTCCCTCATACAACACAAGCTCGTTACAAATGCCCTCATACAACATTCCGTCATTTGAATATGGAATGGGATCTTTCAGTAGAATGTTACACGATGATCGATTTGACATTCCATTCATTTCACATTTTACTGCACTTGTACATGAAGGGGCGTCGGTGTCAATGTTGCAGCAACCTGGTCCATCCACCTCAAACAATGACATTTCATCACCGATGCAGTTGCAAAATTACTCTCCTACGCATAAACATGTTCAAGCAACACTGTCTCAAACTTTGGTGAATGATGAAGCTGTTGTAAACAATGAATTGTCTGTTCTTGATATGTATGATGATACAAACGGCGAGGGTGAAGGCGGAGATGAGGAAGATGTTATAAACAACGAATTGTCTGTTGATGATGCTGTGGCTAGAACTCCATTGCCTTGGTTCACTCAAATAAACGAGAACTATGAGGTGGACATGTATTGGGCTGATCTGGGGAGCCAGACTTCGTTTGTTGTCGGGGGAGAATTTGAGAAGGGCATGACTTTCGACAGTAAGAAAGTGCTCCAGGAAATGGTAAAATTGTATTCCATAGAACGGAATCAGTTCTACACCACGGTGACGTCGAATGAGAATGTCCTTCATCTTAAATGCAAGAGGGAGTGTGGTTGGTCGCTACATGGTACAAAAACAAATTTGACCACACATGCCTTTAAGATCGTATCTTACAAGGGCCCACATCATGAGAACTGCGTGAATGAAGTTCCGCCCAGCGATCACCGACACTTGGACTCCTCCATAATCTGTGACTATGTGAAGTCGTTTGTGCAGAAAGATCCATATTTGAGATTTGAATTCATACAACATCTCATCTCCAACAAATTTCAATTCGATGTTCCCTATCGAAGAGCATGGTATGCCAAACAGAAATTTATTGCGGAAATTTTTGGGGATTGGGAGAGTTCGTACAAAAGACTTCCTTGTTTCATGCAAGCCCTCCAAGAGTCAAACCCGGGCACCGTAGTTTTATGGAAATACAAAGCTATTGCTGAAGGCATTTATTACGGCAACATGGAGGTGTTTGAATGAGTGTTTTGGGCCTTCAAACCTTGCATCGATGGGTTTAACATTGCACGCCTGTATTCTCTATTGATGGGACACACTTGTATGGGAAATATAAAGGCACACTTTTGGTTGCTACAAGTGTTGATGCTAATTTTCAAGTATTTCCTCTAGCATTTGCAATAATTGAAGGGGAAAACACCTCCAGTTGGTCTTGGTTTCTAAGCTGCATTCGGGTTCATGTTACTAATTGAGATGGCTTATGTGTTATATCTGACCGACATGCTGGGATTATTGCTGCAATGACTAACCTGAATGTTGGATTTCATGAGCCACGGGCCTTTCACAGGTTTTGTGTTCGACAAATGGCCTCTAACTTGAGGACTCATGTGAAGAACAACAACATGAGATATATGTTCAAGGCTGCTGCTTACCAACGCCAAGAAAAAAAATTGACTGATGATATGCGTTCTATCGATGAATCTTGTGTCAAGTCCCTAGAGTACATTATGGATGTGCCGTTTCGCAGGTGGTCCTTGTTTTATGACGCTGGTCGTAGGTATGGAATATGTACTACAAATTTCTTAGGAACATTTAACAATGTGTTGAAGGGAGCTCGTTTTCTGTTGATCATGTCCCAAGTCGAGTTAAATTTCCACAGAGTTAACAAGTATTTTAATTTAAGAAGGGATAGTTCACTTGCTAGGCGTGCCGACGGATATGCATACTCACCTAAGGTCACTTCCATTTTGGAGAAGAATAACGGAAAAGCAAAATACCATACAGTGGATGTTTATAGCCGTCAACTTGGTATATACCAAGTAAAAACACACCGGGGAGACAGGATAGGCAGAAAAGGAGGTCATAAGCATACCGTTAACTTCAATTTGAGAACATGTACATGCAACAAGCCTATGATATTTTACCTACCGTGTTCTCATGTTCAAGCCGTGTGTCTTAAGTACTGAACCATGGGTGGACAATTTCCTACGATCAGAGGCGTATATGAATACTTATGCCCCACACTTCTGGCCTATTCCTTGTGAGACGACGTGGAGGACATACAGAGGGCCTAAAATCATTCCTGATGAGAACATGGTCCGAGGACATGGTCGACCAAAGTCGAAGCGTATACAAAATGAAATGGATGATCAGACTAACCGTCCACCAAGCAAATGTGGTCGTTGTCATCAGGAAGGACACAATAAGAGAACTTGTCTGTTACGAACGGGCGGTGACTGGTATTGGTCTTAGTTTATGTCTTAGTTTAATAATATGTGTGTGTATGTTTCACTTAGGATATAGCTGATTTCTTGTTTTACATTGTGCAATGAACAGAGATCATGGAGGGACACGATCAAGGACCGCCACGAGCTGACCCAGGACCAGCTGACCCTTCTGTCCTGAAACTTCAGGGCACCCATCGGAGCCGTGACATATGGGAGCAGTCAGTAAGTTTTCATCTACCAAATCTTTAATGTTTTTGGCAATTTTTATGTTAATTGATCTAACAATGTAATTTTGTTGGTTGTACAGGTTGATCAAGCATGGTGGTTCTTGCTTTGCAGGCACCACATTGGCAAGGCGGTAGAAGATTGGGTCGTCGACCCGCGTGTACTACATTATATCGATTTTGTGGGTTTTCGCGGATTTCACAGGATGGCCTTCACACCTATAGATCGACCGCTAATTGCTGCGCTCGTTTGAAAGATGGAGACAGGAGACTCATTCCTTCCATCTACCAGTTGGGGAGGCCACCGTCACGCTCCGAGATGTGGCGATACTGACACGACTCCCAATACGTGGTACGGCAGTGACAGGTCCCATTATACTAAACTAAAGAAACTCACTTTGGTAATTTTTCCAGTTTTTTAAAGAAACTCACTTTGGTAATTTTTCTAGTTTTTTGCACACAACTTATGTGTAGTAATTGTTGGAGATCAAGTACAATTAGGAGTATGTTAAAAATTGCGAGACTTCATATAATAAGTTTGTACTACAATTTCATTCACATAATAAAATTATGAATTACTTGTGTTAAATCACTTTAAATCTTTGACCTAATTAACTTATCCTGACAAGCTCAATAAATATGATTACAGAGTGACAAATACTATTATTTTTTTTTACTTGTATAAGTATTGTATTTGTTACTCCGTATGTCTTTAGATATCTCTTTCTACTTATTACATTGGTCACTATGCTAAGTATTATTATAATGTTAATGTTAATTTTTTATGTACATTAATTTCTACTATTATACCTCAATCACCCACTATTTCTGTTGCATATATGATGAAGCATCCTAACATAATTGTGTAATTGCATATCCACATATTCGCCAAAAGATAAAACATTAAGTTTTAGCAACTGTGA